GAAATCCCAAAGAGCAAAACTGATCAAAAAGTTAAAAATTGTCGCATAATGAACGTCATTAGGTGTTAGATTAGAAAGTGTGTAATATATGTTGGGCACGTACCGAGCATAGAAGGGCACTTCTTCCAAATTTGTGAGCCGGTGAGCCGTGTGCTTCAAATTTGATCACATTATCATTAAAATTTAATAAAAAGTGAATGCGTACATGTCGAGCATTCATTTTCACAAGCAATTGCTTTTGAAATGTCATTTTCATTTAGAAAGTTCGATTTTGAATTAATTTTATATGTAATAAACTTGATAATTTTAATTTATAATTTAATTAAATTAAATAAAATTTAGGCAAAGCGAAAAATTTTTTGAAAAAATGCAGTGCATTACTATAATAAATTACTTCTGTGAATTATTGTATGTATATTAGTATAATAAATATTTATGGAGAGCAAGGTGTAGTATCTCATATATAATCATAAAATTCAGAATTCAACAGTGCAGGAATTTTATAGAAAATGCAAGATAGTAGTTCAAGGGTGACTTACTGCAGTTCAAATCAAGACCAGTGATATAATAATTATTTTTGTAATGTAACGTCGAAGATATATTCACTTTTGAGATACCAAAACGTAATTGAGATAATTTTAATGAGATGTGAGGGTCTTTCTAATGTCCCGTATCAGAGTCAACAAAATATTTCTGTACCATGCATAGTTTCAAAATATAATATATAATAATTATTTTTGTAATTAATGTAACGTCGAAGATATATTCAATTTTGAGATACCAAAACGGAATTTAGATAATTTTAATGAGATGTGAGGGTCTTTCTAATGTCCCGTATCAGAGTCAACAAAATATTTCTGTACCATGCATAGTTTCAAAATATAATATATAATAATTATTTTTGTAATTAATGTAACGTCGAAGATATATTCAATTTTGAGATACCAAAACGGAATTTAGATAATTTTAATGAGATGTGAGGGTCTTTCTAATGTCCCGTATCAGAGTCAACAAAATATTTCTGTACCATGCATAGTTTCAAAATATAATATATAATAATTATTTTTGTAATTAATGTAACGTCGAAGATATATTCAATTTTGAGATACCAAAACGGAATTTAGATAATTTTAATGAGATGTGAGGGTCTTTCTTATGTCCCGTATGAGAGTCAACAAAATATTTCTGTACCACGCGTAGTTTCAAAATAAAAAATATGCACATATGTATAAATATATATAATATATGAATACGTTATATTTCGGTAATCACTTGCTTGGTTTCTAAAAAATATATGTTATAAATGGTCGGAATTAGAATTTATTAACTGTATATATTGAAAAGTGTTCTACATTCCACAAATCTTTTACCTATTCATGTTTATTCATTTGTCATATAAAAGACGCAAATAATATATACTTCAGATAATCTCATAATATTAACTATTATTTTCCTAATAATTAATCAATAATAATAGGTAAATATTAGAATAATTCTCCAGCAAAAGACAAATTTGTCTTAGCTCCAAGTTCATTATATAAATAATTATTCTAATTTGGCTGCTCTGTTTGCATCGCATTATAAAGTATAAAGAATTTTTAATATCTTAATCACTTTATACTTTACAATATCTTTAACCTAAGTAATACTTTATATAATGAATCGCTTATCAATCGCTGAAAGCGTTAAAGTTGATGATGATGAATTCATCATTTCAGTGAGAAAAAACATTTCTTGTTGGGTCGCATTAGTCGCATCTGGCATCTAGAGCATTAATAAGTTACAGATAAGATGGCCAAAAGAGGTTTCATAATGGATATAATTGAGGTGGATACCATAGTATACACTCTGATGTGTGAACTGTTTAGAAGTAAAGAATTCATCTTTGTGATAACGTAAGGCTTTTAAACTAGTCGAAAATACTGTAAGAAAAAGAACAAAAGAGCTTTTAAGCTTTAGCAAACCTACAATTTAGTGTGCTTACTAAAGTTTTATCGAGTCAATATGCCATTGCGCCAATGGAAGACTGTTCAAATAAATGGACAATATAGGAATTATCGTGATAAAAAAAAGATGAAAGCTATCACTCACTTTTCATATATTTGTTCAAGAGTGCTAATAAAGCGACTTTATTGTCTTAGAGATCGTATCCTTAGCTGCGGAGAATATATTGCAAAACTAAATTTATTACCCATTTTTAACTTCAACCAAAAAAAAGAATGTCTTAGCAATGATTGTATATAGAATCTTAATGAAAATAATGAATAATCTAACTCATTTCCTATGATAGAGATAAGGCCATTAACATTGGTAATAGATATCTTCGAGTTGCAATATAAATGATTTCATAAATATACCTTCTCTCATCTCAACATAACCGATTGTGTCTGTTTAATTATAATTTACATAATCAAACAAAATTATAACAAAATATACAATATAACAAAATTAGTTTATAACATTTTTTTTCTTAAATAAATATTCAAGATCGACTTTGATTTAACATTGAAACTACAAATAATAATTGACAGTTTCCAACAACCAACAAGTGCTTAAATCATTGGGTTGAAATATGTGAGAGAGCTTTGAAAAGAGCTGTCCGGCAAGAGGTAGCGACTAATATTTTTGGAAATTACACCGGTTTACACTTTAGTAATCATCATGGCTAAAATTCACAAACAGCATTTTAAATAATTGCCCATTGTAAGACCACTACTCATAGATTCTTAGGCTTTTACAGTTCAAAAATAGGCAATGATTTATAAGGTGAAACACAATATCCCTTCCTTTACAAGCTAACAAGAATAATAGCTATTAGCCCTCTTCCTTTACTTATAACAATGCACTCGGAACTGAAGGTCAGCAAACTAGTTTGGTTAATGTATATAATGTATGTTAATGTCCGTTAGTATCAACTACGAGTTACTTTGCGATGATTAGGGAATAATACTGTATTGTACCAACTCTAATACTGGTACTCTGGTAATTCACTAATACGGAATATGATTTATTATGAAAGAATTTTAAATTCTAAAAAAAAAAATAAACATAACTTCCGTACAAAATTTTTCTAATTGAGAAATATTCAATTCTAATTAAAAACTTGAGCATGCAATGCACATTTACATGATTTTCATATTTTTAGTCTGCAAAATTTATTCATGCAATTTTTTATGTCATTCCAATTCAGTTTTTGTCATAAATTCCAACGATCACCTGCTGCAGAACTCTTGTCTTGAAGCACATCTAATAATTTCTGGCTTAAAATTCCGTACATGTATCTCGAAATGCCTAAATAATTCCATCAACACGTTCCAACATAAAAAAAATGAAATACTGGCTACGGTTTCAGATTATCTTGGTTTCAGGTTTCAGTCTTTCAGTCTTTTAGTCTTTCACTTCACAAAGCCAAGGGAAATTCTGCTTTTTTGTTGCTAAGTCATTACAGAATATGTAATTTTTACAATTAACAAAAAAAGTAAAAATATTTACTTACATGGAAATGCTTCATAATTTGAAATTGCACTTAATATTCCTATGCGATACTAGAGAATTACTTTTACTTAGAAGTGTTTCTAAAGGAAAAGGAAGAGAATTTTTATTTCATCCTCTTCATTGTTATTTAACATAGACAGTTACTGCATTTTTTTAATATAATATATATTTATAGATAAATTATAAAATTTTAATAAACGATATATTTTATATTGGATTTATTGTTATACATACAATATTTCAAGGTATATTATACGGGTCGAATTAAGGTTAAGGAATAAAAATAGATCTTTTTTTACCATAAGCAACTTTTCTTCTTTCGCGCTTTGAGGAAATTATGTAAAGAGTATATATTCTACCAGATATACATATATTTGCGTAGAAGATGCATAAAGCAATAGATGTGTAGGGGGACTTCAACCCCTTTAACTTCTGCATTCGGAATATTTGCTTATTCCTTTCCAAATTTGCAAACCCGGTTTTAAAGATAAATTTAAAAATAATTTTTTAGATTCACTAATTCTGTTTCAAGAATATAACTTTTTATGCACTTCTCGGTATATTTATATCTTGTACTAGTAAATTATTATTAATTGAGCTAATCAAACATAACTTTGCAATAATTCCCGAATCTATAAATAAAGTATATAATAAAATAATATATATATATAAATGATCATATATGATATTGTGTTATTATTAAGGAAGGTATTGTATATAAATCAACACACAATATAGGCAAATGAACTGAGACGCCCTCTTTGGCTTTCTAAAAGATACAATGAGATACAGGCATAGAATATTAGAGGTTTTTAAATTATAATATGCCATGTAGGGTATTAGTAGACAAACGGCATTCAAGGCCTGCCCTTAGGTTAACAGTTAATAGTAATTAAATGTATAAAAAGTTCGCGTCAAGCTTTCTTATAAGCATAGAAAAAAAACGGCAATGACCTATCAGTTAGGAGAAAAAAAATATTAAAAATATTCTGGATGTGTGGTAACAGATAATATAAAAGCGGCCGAGATGAACCAAGAACTGTTCATCCCAAGTGGGATGCACATCCCACTATGGAACACTATGTGACTATGAAACAGAATAATAGATTATTACAAATCAAATATTTTCTGCTACTACTATATCGAATGTTATCGCGTTTTGTAGAGTTTAAATATTTTTCTTTACACAGAATTACAAATGAAATTTTAAATGTTTGGAATAACTAAAAAAAAATAATAATCTTTTATTAATATTAATTTAAATGAAAATTAAATAATTATAGTTGCGTAGTTGTAATGAAAAAAATCAATTATTTTTTATAACAAAATCACAATCCAAATCATCCGAAACTGTGGTTCAAAGACAGATCTATCAACTACATGTTTTCCTAGAAATCTTGAACAAGCTTTTTAAAATAGAAAAATAGCGTTTTAAAATTAAATTTATAAATGTAAATTAATTTTAAATATTTTGTGTAAATATTAAAAAATGTTAAAAATATTGATACGATCGTATTTATCTGAAAAAAAAAATTAAAATTAAAGTATATATCCGATTTTTAACTCTGCTAACAGTGTTACTCACTAATATCTTGCACTGAGATTATATAGAAAACTATTTAGAATCCATTTGCTCAATTTTTGCTGTTATTTCTAGCATAATTTCAGTACATTGAGATAATAACTGTTGATTTCGATTCTCAAATTCCAAAATCTGCTGCTCTAAAGTTTTTTTTGGAACAGCTTTCACCTGCCGTCGTTTACGTTTATTTTGACCACTGGTACCAGCAATCCCTTAAACATTATAACTTATGGTTAGTTATATACATATATACAGTACACATACACTACATTATACCTTGTTCTTGCTGCATTCCCGCCTTGGATTGTAGAAATTAAAAATTATTATTATTAAAATAAAGGAAACTTCATAAATATCATATAAAACTGTCGCTACCGCCTTAATAAGCACATCATTACAAATATACTTACAACTACCACAGTTGTAGCATTTTCTTCTGTGGAAATGCTATGCTTCGCTTGGGATAATAAACTAATAGATCTTCTCTTTTTGACAAAGTTGCCATTACTTTCTGCATCTTTCAGAGGAATTGATTCACCACTCCTTCGAAATTGGTTAACTAAAATTTGGCATATTGCATCAAATTTCTTACAGCGAATATTTTCCTTCCCATTACCGTTCTGAAGTTTCTTTCTCATTTGCCTTAAAATATATATTATATTTCATTTTCATCAAACAAAATTGAACTGCTAACCTATATTTAGCCTGAATTTTGCTACGTTTAGAGAGCATTTCCTCGGGTGACACAATCACATTGAAACGGTTTTTTAGTTCCGTTGCCCAGTCTACAAAATGTTTTGGATATTTACGATCTTTCGCTAACTTCTGACGTTCCCATATTTTAAGCATAATCTCTTGTTTTTTAGTCCAATAAAATTGCGTTTTTCCATTATCTTCTCCCGCGGTTGAAGAATTCATCAGAGCCAAATCTTTTTCACTTTCCATTGTGCTGGAATATATAAATAAATTAAATAAAGAATTCAAATAATAATGTTATAGAAGTTTATAAGCTATTTTTGATATATCATCCTCACCTGATGAAGAAAAATAAATGAAAATACCGCAATAACTGTGAAGTTAGGTGTGATTATTTTTATGTGGTGATTTTAAACTGACTATACACTTAACAGCTGATCGAAAAAAGCATATAAACAAGCAAACTGTAGGTCTGTTTCAGAATTTTTTTAATAAAAATCAAATAAATTTAACAACCCTATATTCTCCCAGGGGCAGTGACGACTGCTCTAAGCTGCGGAGGTGTGCGGCGCACACCCTAACATAATTAGCAAAATGTCAAATAATATATATAAATTTATTAAATATCTTTACATCGAGAATTAATATTATTTATTACATTTCTATATATATATATTTAAAGACTAAAGTTTTAGCAAAAACAATTATATATAATTGTCTATGAAAACTCAATCAATTTGCTTATCTTAGCTGTTATAGTTGCTAGTTGTGCTCATAAGTTTGCAGCTCATATCGTAGAAAATTTTTGTTATATTTCGTCTTTCGTGTGCGGAAAAGTTGGCCGCACATTCACAAATTTCTGTCCTTAGTTGTGCTCAACAGAAAAATAAACAAAATAATGTTCGTGTGCTCACGCTTGTAATATGAGCAATACAGATTTATATAGTGGGAATTGTATGAGAGTAAATTTCTATTCTATTCGAATATCAATTGCATGCATACGAATCCATCATGTTGACTCGTCAAAGTGGTTAGATGTGCGGCTATTAAGGCTCAGTTAGATGTAACGTAAGAAATTAATTCGAAGCGAAATGCACAATTAACCAAACCTGCGTATTTAATAGGAACGAAATAAATAAAAACGGTGTAGTTTGTTTATTTCGTTTCTATCAAACACACAAGTTTGGTTGGTTGTGCATTTCGCTTTGAATTAATTTCTTACAAAAAAAAAAAAATAAATAAATAACCAAATTCTAGACATATAATAACTAATAGCAATTTTATTTAGTAATAATAATTTTATACGTAGGGCTTCATTTAGGACTCTAAGCAAAATATACTGATTGCTGAATGAAGGAAGAGCGAAAGTAATTCATTAAAAACATAGCCAATACTCGATGATAAGTGATATAAAAAATGCGAAAAGTATTATTTAGTAGTACTTTTGTTTAGATAATTTTAGTATATATTATACCTGTGAGATTTTGCATACTATGTTTTGATTTTTTTAATACAGATTTAGAATGTTTATCTAAAAGATATAAATTCATTGAATAAGATTGAATAATAGAATTCTGTATTGAGATCTTAGATAGCACTTAGTACATACAACATATAAAACTATGAACAAAAATAACACAATATAAATGTCTAAGCTACAATCGTTTTATTTTTGAAGATTAATTTTGATGCATGAATTTTTAATCCTTGCTGTACTTGATGAATTGCGCAGATTTAAAGTTTGTATACATCAACTCTTTTTGGTTGTGTGTGTGTGTGTGTAGAAACGCAAAAAAAAAAAACATTTTGAGAAGAAATTTAAAATTTATTTTGGAATTCACAAATTCCATATAAATGTTTTATTTTCACTATGTACTGTTTCATATTGGCATTAGGAATAAAATGCCCACTTGGAAGATACCAAAAAATTATAGAAGAAAAATAATGCATTTTAATTGCTTTCATCATTTTTTCAACAGTATCAAAGTATGATCAAAATTTCAATCCCTAAAATGTATTAAAACTGTTGTAAAAAATAATTTAAATCTTCAATTTTACTTAAGTGTGGCATGAGCCAATGGAAAATTATATTAAAGAATTACTTGACTTACTTTTATATATAAGGTGCGTTTTTCACCAAGTAAATTCTTCTACGAATTGATCACGTAGCTTTTAATAGTACTACAAACTTATCAACTATGCTCCAATATATTTGTACTAGGTTAGGGCTTTGGGGGTCTATGCGTCACATCTTGGTGCCAGTCAGTGTTCACCTAATCTAACTTAACCTACGTTTTATTTGAATTATCATTTATGACATTTATAAATGTTCAACTTTAATCGCTATAGTGATATGATTACCAATTTTTTTTATGTCAGATTGAAGATATGGATGTGGAAGACATCCACACATCCGTGGAAACAAATTATGTTCTGTTTGGGGTATGTACTTTCACGTTTTGCTGTTCAAATTCTTGTTGTTGGATTAGGCTAAATATTGTGTTTTTTCGGATAAACCGTTAAATATTCGGCGCTTTAAAAACGAACGTTTGTCAAGTGATTACAAAGCTTTTTCAAGCTGTGTGTCCAGTAAGCATCGATCAAATACTGTGAAATGCTGCAGAGAGTATATTTAAATACTTTTTTATTTCACCCCTTAGATTACTTTAATATATTGAAATATAAATTTGATCCAATTTTTAATAACTTGTGTACATTTATATATTCTCGGAACTACATTATCTTCATTAAGGCTGAGGTTTAAGTCTGTTTTATGTCTGCATCTCTGTATAACCGATAAATATCGCCACAGCATCGAATATATGCTTTACCATTTGTACATGTTGTACAAAATATCTTCTTGCGATCCGTCTTTCGAAGGCTTTTATTGCAACTACATGATGGTATACAGTAGCGAGGCGTCAGCTTTTTGGCAAGGTGTTCACAATTTAATCAAAACAGAATTCCAACTATAACGTATTCCCCCTACTTCTAAGTTTTGTCCTTTCCACAAGCAAATAGCGTACAAGACCAATAAAACAATTTATTTAAATGTTCGCAGCCTGTGATCCACTGGTTTTTATTTACCATAAAGCTGTAGCTGTAGGAAAACGACGACTTACCATAGATTTCGACATTTTTCAACAGGTATCAAATTCTTCATATCTGGAGTTGGTTTATTCGTTTTATGAATTAAAATCTTTTTTTCAGAAGATCGTTTAAAAAAAGACATTGAATCGAATTATAAATGATTAGCTACTATTATTACGTTTTCTCCAACTGTAAGAACAGCAGTATTATCAGTAAAGGTTGCTTTTAACGTCGTCATACTCGTTGGTAGGTAATATGTATAAATCAGATATAAGAGGAGACTCAAGATACATATAAAGTTTTGAAGCAACGTTTACGATTGATCTTTTTTAATCCCTCCTTCCTGATGACTGGTTTCTCTAATACAACCTTTATTATTCCCTTAAGATTCAACATTAGTTGGTTCAAATCTCAACATTTTTTTTATATACAAAAAACAAGAAACCGGAACTAATTACCAAATAATTTAGGCAACCATAATAAACCAATAAATAACGCTTTCTACTTTATTATTAATTAATCATTTTGTAACTTTTTAATTTTGTCCATATTTCACATTTGGCAATAAAATAGTTCAAAACATAATTGCCAACAAATTTAATTGCTGAATAAATTTAATTTCCAAATGTTAACAAATATTTTAAAAAATATTCTACTTTTATTTATTTTTGTTATTTTTTTTGCAACTAATCCATAAGAAAGCATAATTCCCTGTATACGCATGAGGTGTACAATTTTCGTTGCCTCACCGGAATATTAAGTAGGTGACAATTCGAGTGTGGACAAAAATTTTTGGATACTGAAGTGTATTCACCTGCTATATGCTTCCGTAGAATAAATGGCGCTCGCTTGGGGTGTGTAAGAATTTTCGATAATATAACGGATTTTGAGGAACTCTGTAGAACTCTGTTCAGATGTATGTATTTGGTATTTTTTTAAAGTAAATTTGCAAATTCGGAAAAAAATACATTAAAAATATAAATAAAGAATTGTTAAAAAGAAGTAAATCAAATTTAGGGCAAAAGTGTTGAGACAAGACATATGAAGACAGGTGATATGGTGATATGGTGCACGAGCCAGTGAATGGGCTCTATTGTTCCAGTTTTGAGTGGTTTACTTTTGTTAGGAATTTGTTAGAAGGTACAAAATATATTCCAAGCACTTGCGTGTGATTGAGAATCTATTATAATTCTAAACAAAAAATGTAAATAAAATAACTTACTTTTTATTTAAGGAGAAAAAAGAAAAAATATAAAAAAAACTCTTGTGAGAAACTCTTCGACAGATGGTCTTGCATATAATACCAGAGTTGACCGCATTTTTGCAAACAAATAAATTCCATTAAATAAATTTTACGAGCAAATTGATTGATTTTCTATATTTCATAGACTTAAAATGCAGTACAATTTTCTCTACTGAACACATTGAAATTGTGTCCAAACAATAAATAAATAAATATTTATATATTTTACATTTATGTAAATGATATTATATATATTACCATATAAATAATTTAACTTAGGACTAAAACAAATATTGCATTTATTTTTATTTGATAAAATTTTGTCATTGATTTACTTAAAAATAATTTAAAATTTTTCTAAAGTATTTCAATTTCTAAATTAATTTTAATAAAATTTTTAGTCTCAATTTCTGGCCATGTTACTAAATATTATTTAATATAAACAATTTGTATGTGGATTTATTAAAAATCCTTTCAATTAAAATAAATAAAATAATTTTATATAATTTTAACAAATTTAAATATTAATTCAAAATTAAAAAATTATAAAAAAAATTAAAATATAATAATTAAATAATAATAATTTTTTATTTTTATTATAATAATTTATTTTGATTTTATTGCCATTGATTTCTGTAGGCCAAATAATGTGAATCGTATTCTGGTCTCACTTGGTAACTATCTGTACTTGAAGGCGAGTTGTCCTCATAACTTGGATCAGTTTGCAGTGATCGCTTCCAGTAGCTGCCCTGTTCACCCCAATCATCTCCGTGATCTTCATAGTGATGCTGATGATGTGCATGTTCAACATAGACAACCTGTTGTTAGAAAGATTTATTCTTTGAAGTGAGAAACACCAAGGAAATACCATAGATACCCAAAAGGAGTAGTAACATTTGCTTTGTAACAAAAATTAATTCGTTACAATTTTGTAGTTACAGTTGCAGGATTAAGTACAGGAGTTAACTTTGCTTTTTAAATAAGTGTGTATAGTACACTACATTTTATAATACTTTATTTCAATCACATACATACATATATAATGGATACACAAACCTATATGATGAACTAAGCTGAACAGATAGTGTGAGTTTTCCATTTAAAATTCCCTGTGGTGGTTATATGGAATATATAAATGCTACTTTAGGAAAGTGTTATAATCTATTATCTATAACAGTATTTTCCAATGATAGGCCCATTATTCTGCAGAGGATAATTTGGTTGTTGGATGGGGCAATTTAAAATCCAACTTTTATGAAAATTTATCCATGTTAGTTTCATATAAAGCTGCTTGATACATTCCGTATTAAAACTATTACTCAAACACCAACGGATACAGATTATTGCAACTCGGGAGTGTTAGTTTTTTAAAAGTTTAAATTTGCCTTGATCCAGCTATAGAGACATTATTTGATATATGCAATGTTTTCCTAATCAAACAAATATATTTAACCGTGACCTGTCTGTAGGCAGGTGACCGTAGTCGGAAACTTATTTCTGGAAAGGCTTTTTGATAATTTCCGGAAGTTAAAAAATAATTTTCATTTTATTAAAGAGTCATAATGCATTAAGAAATAATATACGTATGCATAAATACAGTTCTTCGAATAATATTAGTTTTGAAGCACTACCAGTCTACGTATCTAGCCGTGACATAACAAATCGTGGAAGAGTAAGCTATAAAATCACTAGAATCACACAAGTCATGAAAAAACTTTCTAAACACTAATTGTTACTATCCATTATTGTTATTTTATTATTATGTTAAATTTCAAGATAAAGACTGTAAAGATATTGTTGGAACGAAGTAATATCGACTACTATTTATTGTTTCTTTTCCACTCTGTTCCCATTATGTAAAATGTTTACTTAATAAAGTTCTTACTATTCTACCTTCACTTCGAACGTAGCATCTAAACGAAACGGTTGTTTAATTTATTTATTCTAATAGGTTATGGGCCCAGACCCATCACAACTGCGCTTTGCATTTCAATCTATAAAGTAAAAGTTCATTGTCCGTGCGTGAAATAAAAAGTAAAATAAGTATTTGAATTTCGAAAAGAAATTGCGTAAAAAATTGCAGAAATGGCGGGAGTCGTGCGTATCGAGCCTCTAAATGCAGAAAATTACGACACTTGGAAGCTACATATGCGTGCAGTTTTAATTAAAAACGATCTATGGGCCTACGTAAACGGGAGTAAACAGTGTCCAGATGAGACTGCATCCGCAGCTCTGTGGAAGACAAATGATGAAAAAGCATGTGCCGATATCATGCTAGCAATTAGTGCACCGGAGTTAAATCTTATTGCTGAATGTACAAATTCGCAGAAAATGTGGCAGAAACTACAAGCGACGTACGAGTCGAAAGGTCCCGCTCGAAAAGCGACATTGTTAAAAAGAGTTGCGCTCTCACGAATGAAAGAGGGTGATTTAGTAAGAAATCATCTTAATGATTTTTTTGATGCTGTTGCAAAACTGAAGGAAATTGGTGTTGAAATCGGAGACGAATTGCTCGCAATTTTATTACTATACAGTTTACCTGAATCATTTGAAACATTTCGTTGTGCACTTGAAACACGTGATGATTTACCAAAGCCAGAAGTGCTTCGTGTAAAAATACTAGAAGAGTGGGAATCAAGGAAAGCAAAAAACGAGAGAGCAGACAGCGATGCTTTGTATGTAAAAAATACACCAAGTATGTATAACAAAAACAGAAACAACAATGATCGATACACAAAACGCACAGAAACGAAAAGAAATTTTTGCTGTTACAAATGTGGCAAAAAAGGTCACTATGCAAAAGAGTGCCGTTCGAAAAATGACTACAATCAAAGAGCTAATAAAAGCGAAGTAAAAAATTCCTCTTTAAGAGCAACAGAATCAGTTTTTTTGTGTCCAAATGGAAATGATAACTGGTGTTTAGACAGTGGATGCACTTCCCACATGAGCTCCGACAAGAATAATTTTGTTGATATGGTAGAATTAAATGAAGTGTTGAATTTAGCCAACAACAATTCTACGAATATTACTGGCACAGGTGACATAGAAGTAAAAGTGAACGAAAAAGGTTGTAAAAGGAATATAACATTAAGAGATGTGCTCTATGTATCGGATTTGCGTACAAACTTGTTGTCGGTATCAAAAATAACAGACAGAGGATTTGAAGTACATTTTCGTAAAAATGATGCAAGTGTTATTGATAAAAATGGAGAAGTATTTTTCACTGCAGAACGAAATGGTAATTTATATTTTATGAAAAACCATAAAATCAGTGCATTTATATCTGAAGATAAAAGTGCAATAAACCTATGGCACTGTAGAATGGGCCATCTGAACGAACGTGATTTAAAGCAAATGGCAAAAAACGGCGATGTATACGGACTGAAAATAAATTCAAAAGACAAATTACTAGATTGCGAAATATGTGCAAGTGAAAAACTAACACGCACAATTTATTCGAAAAGTATCGGTAATCGTACAGAAGATTTATTAGAAATCGTGCATAGCGACATATGCGGTCCGATGCGGTGTACCTCAAATGGCGGTAAAAACTATTTTGTAACATTTATTGACGATAAATCGCGTTGGTGCGAAATTTACTTTATTAAACAAAAATCAGATGTATTCGAAGCATTCAAAAAATTTAAAAACGAGGCAGAGACATTCACTGGTAAGAAAGTAAAAACGCTGCAAACTGATAACGGACTCGAATATTGTAATCAGGAATTCGACATGTATCTTCAAAAACACGGGATAAAGCGACGCTTAACAGCACCGTATACTCCACAGCAGAACGGAGTAGCCGAACGTAAGAACAGAACACTTGTAGAGATGGCGAGATGTCTAATGAAGCAAGCTGGTGTTCCACCTTCATTCTGGGCTGAAGCAATAAATACCTCATGTTACATTCGAAATCGGTGTATTACAAAATCTACAGGAGAAGTACCTCATAAATCGTGGACTGGAAAAACTCCAACTGTGACTCACATGAAGGTGTTTGGTTCAAAAGCATATGTGTTGAACAAGAAGAAATCAAAGGGTAAATTTGAATCGCGATCGGAACAATGTGTATTTATCGGATATTCATCCGAATCTAAAGCTTATCGCTTATGGTCCAAAGACAAACGAGATATAATAATTAGTCGAGATGTGAGATTCATAGATGAACCCGGATTTAAAAACGAATACGAAGAAATATTCAAATCGCAGAGTCATACTATTAACATTGAAACAAAACCGAACGTTGCCCCATCGAGTGAAGCTGAAACAAGTGACAGTGAAATGGGTGAAACGACAACGAAACGTGGTACGGGTCGTCCAAAGAAGTTAAAGACTAGTTTGCGAGGAAGACCGAAAAAATTTATCAACTACCTAAAGATGTTAAGTCTATTGACAACAATCCTGACACTGATTATGAAGACGACAATTTTGAAATAAGTGAATTGGCGTGCATTAGCATAGATGAAACTCCGCCAAATTGGTCCACAGCGAATACCAGATGCGATGAAATTGAATGGACAAAGGCTATTGAAGATGAATATTTAGCATTAATCTTAAACGAAACTTGGGAAATCGTGGAGAAACCTAATGAACATAAAGCAGTCGGAAGTCGTTTAGTACTACGAACTAAAGAAAATGGTAAGAAAAAAGCTCGTCTCGTAGCTAAAGGCTACGCTCAACGACAAGGGGAGGATTTCCATGATACTTACTCACCAGTGGCACGTTATACATCAATTCGCTTGCTTGCAGCATTGGCAGCTGAAATGGACTTGGAGATTCACCAAATGGACGTGGTCACTGCTTATCTTAACGGAGAGCTTGAAGAAGTAATATACATGGAAGTACCAGAAATGCTAACTGAAGTTTTAAATAAAATAAAATCAGGTGAACCAACAGGTTATCAGGGTGTAATAATATCGAAGTAAAAATATCGAAGAAACAACCGATAAATGGTTAAAAGCACTGCAAAAGAAGAACCCTGTATGCTTGCTGAAAAAGGCGTTATATGGACTGCGACAGTCGGGTCTAATGTGGTACAATCGTTTAACAACTAAATTGAAACAGCTTGGTTTAAAAGCTTCAATGCAAGATCCATGTCTTTTTATCAAACAAAAAGGTAAACAATTATTAATAATTATCATATATGTAGATGATCTATTACTAGCATCAAACAACAGCATGTGGCTCAAAAGCACAAAACATGCATTAAGCGAATCTTTCGAGATGAAAGATATTGGTCCAGTAAAACGTTGTGTGGGAATTGACTTCCAGCAAAACTTGGGGTCACATCAAATTATTTTGACACAACAATATTCAAAAATTCTATATTCAAAAATTATTAGAACGTTTCAATATGGCTAAATGTAAACCAGCAAAAACTCCCATGGAAACAAATTTCAAAACTGAAAAACCAAATGATATTGATGAAGAAGTCATGGCAAGGTACCCCTATCAAAAGCTAATAGGAGCCCTTTTGTACCTACCAGTTACAACAAGGCCAGACATAGCATTTGCAGTCAACTACATGAGCCAGTTTAATACAAACTACAATGAGGAGCACTGGAGAGCTGCAAAGCGAATTTTACGGTATTTGAATGGTACCAAAAATTATGGACTTCTTTACACACAAAATAATAAAACGCTTTATGGTGTAGCTGATGCAGATTGGGGTGCGAATTTAATCGATAGGCGATCGTATAGCGGATACGCGTTCGTATTGGCTGGTGCAGCAATAAGCTGGGAGGCGCGCAAACAGCGTACAGTGGCACTTTCTAGTACCGAGGCTGAATACATGGCTATGGCAGAAGCAACGAAAGAAGCAATATATCTACAAGGTATTTTGAAAGACTTAGGCATATCATGTAAAAATGTGAATTTATTCAATGACAGCCAAAGTGCGCAAAAACTCATTCAGTGCTTAGGGTACAGCTCGCGCACAAAACACATCGATGTACGTCATCATTTCGTTAAAGAGTGCTACCAAAGCGGGAAAATTGAGTTTACGTACATGCCAACCGAAGACATGCCAGCAGATGTCCTTACAAAAGGATTAAACAGTGTTAAGCACTTTAAATGCGTAACAGCGCTGGGTATGGCGAATAGTCTTTCTACTTCGAGGGGAGGTGTTGGAACGAAGTAATATCGACGACTATTTATTGTTTCTTTTCCACTCTGTTCCCATTATGTAAAATGTTTACTTAATAAAGTTCTTACTAATCTACCTTCACTTCGAACGTAGCATTCAAACGAAACGGTTGTTAAATTTATTTATTCCAATAGATATAAAGAATGCAACCTAGGGTTTATAAAAGTGAGAGATTGAACTATTGGAAAAATTTTAAAAGTAGTAAAGAATAAAAGAAGGAAGTAGTTGGACTACTCGGTTTTTATAAATTTCTTGTTATATGTTTTGGCACCTCAAAAGGATCCCATGTATCATTAAAAAGAACTCAGAAATGGATTTAAGACTAAGAACATAATATTACCATTGAATATACATGGTTATCAATTAGGATAACTTATAGTCTATGAAAAGTAAAAGTATGGTTTGCATATCAACTAATAATCGTATTGTAACTGTAGATCTATTTATTAGTATTAGAACAAACTGTCGTTGTTTTAACTTATATACGATACTTTAATATTATGCACATTCGATATTGCTCCGTGAGATTTTATATTTTGTCTTCCATTTACAGTAGGGATAGCCATGATCTCGAGCAAATACTTGAAATGGGTGTTGTTGCTGTTTTGCGCTGTTACTATGTAACTTAGTTACCGAGCTTATTACTCGTGATCGTGAATTCCACTAGTCTATATTTAATTTCAGTGTTAATGTCGTTGGCTCACACTTTACTATATACTCTTTTCTGAAAAGTTGTTTGAAGAAAGGGCAATCATCTTTTATACTATATGTATAGCACATTTCCTAAGTACTAATTCAATGTGAATTTTGACTAAGTATTTGATGAGACTTTTAAATCTAAAGACGTCCTGAAGAGGGGATGTGTTGCTTAAAAAACAAAAATAAGTTCGTTAAAATACTAAACAGAGAGTATAACTTTAGAGAGAAAGAGTAAGAGTAACTTAGTAATATAATTAAAAAATAGACTTATTCGTACAAATATATATGTTATTGATTACTTCTACACTTTCATAATAGCTACATAAATTGAAAAATTTAATTTAAATATTTTATGGTTTTGCTTTATGAAAAAAAAAATGGTTATTAACTATGAATTAATAAAATTTAAAGGAGACATTTTATTTCAAGCCACAATATTTCTCAAAACGTCATATATTCTTTTTAGTATCCATAATAAACTAAAGAGAGGTTTCGAACAGTAGTGAATTGTAACAACAAAATTTTTATTAATTTTTAATCAATTGAATTCTTGGCTGACCATACAGCTATTTCGAGTATTGATGGGTATTTCATCATGATTATTTATGATGGGCAATCATAGAAGCGAGTCTACAGATGTGTATAGATATATTTCTGTTAAAGATTGCCTAAAATAGATTATTTATTTTAAATTTGTAGGTATCAGCTAAATTTTTCAACAAATACCTTATACATATTCTAAAAAATCTAACAACTTTCTGACTTTCTGACACCTTTTAGTTTATGTTGGTGTTACTATCTTTTCGGTATAAATATTACCAGCAAACATTTTAAAAATTTCAAGTTGTTTTACTGAACCGTTAGTACTGTTGACTTAACATTACTTGAATAAAGAAACTTGCTTTTAGTAATTTTATCTTGTGAAGGATAGTAAAAATTTTGATTAGAAGTTTGATAAATCGCACTCTGGATTTAATTCAATTGCATTTATATATTTGTACTTTTGTTCTGTAGAATCTTACAACTAATTAAAAATAAATTATCTTCTGAAAATAATTATTAATTTTTAATATTACTCACACTCACAGAGTACTAAAAAGTTTTTTATATAAAACTTGATTTAAAATCATCTCTAATAAAAATAGTAAATAAATGTGCAACATTTGTCATATTATACAAACTCCTGCAGAGAAAAAGATAGTCTCAAGGATAGTTCTTTAAACAAAACAAAGTAAAACAAAACAACTCGATTGAAACAACAAAAATATATACAGAAATAATTAACAAAGTAATATATATCTACAGTATATACGTATGTATATACATAGATACATAAGAATAAGAATTCAGCTGACAGCAAATCTATCTTAAAATTTTTTTACTGAGAAGACATGTGGAGCCATGAATACTCGTACACTTTAAAAAGCTGCAATGGTGAACACAGAAAATTAATGTTTCCACAACTAAAATTAGAAATAAAAATAGAAGCTGAAACGTGCAAAAAAACACTTTTAAATCCGTAAAAAAGTACCCAAAAAGATATCCAAAAAACGTATATAAACAAATTCAACCTGAACAAAAATTAAACAGGAACAACATGTATATTAAACACATAAAACACAAATCTTCCAGTGTCGAACCCACATATACATACGAACCTTTTGTGGTGCACCGCCGCGCTTGACATCGATCCAGAATCGTGCGATGTTGATCAGAAGTCCAATCAATGCGATTGCGAAGAATTTGATTTGTAGATGAGCGCCAAGGATTTTAAGCAATAACTCGATTTTAGCTTTAAGAAATGAACCCAATAAAACTAATTTCACTATAGCTCTCCTCTTCTTCTTCTTCTTGCCACGAGTAACTGTGGGGAGGGAAGAGTAAATTTAAATATTATTTAAAAAGTTATATAAAAATTATAAAAAAATTTAAAAATAATAAAAAATAATTAAATAATTTGGGAGGGTAGGTGTGTGTTGATTAATTAGTGCATTTCTTGTGCATTAGATAGGTTAGAAGCATAAGCATTCAATTTATTTAACTTAAACTACATAAATAATATATAAAAATATATACAATTCAAAAATATAATACATTTTTAAATAAGTAAAATATGGTTTGATTATAATTATTTTTTTTAATAATAATAACGAATATTTTTATTTTGATACTACTTCAAAGTTGTATATCATCTACCTCACATATTGTTGGTATAGAAAAAGCTAGTCATTAAATAAGTATCAATTTGACTCCTATGAGATAATGTGAGTATTAAATTAAAACCGCATCTTTCATTGAGACGTTGTTTAATGCTACGTGAAAGTAACAAAATTGTCGACCTCAAGTATATATAAGAGGTTCTGCTTAGCCCAGAATCGTTTTTAACTTCAGGAAATGTAATTTCTTCTTACTTTTTCTTTTTCTAAAGGAGAAAAGAAAGAAACAATTCTACACTAGAATGATCTACCATAGCTATTTCAATGGAAATCATTTGTAGGGACTTTAAACCTAAAGTGATTTAAAGATTTAATATAATTAAGTAAAAAAAACTTTAGCACCACTACAAAAAGACTGATAGGGTGCTATAGGTTGAGCTATTAACTTACAAAATTAAGAACTTATTAATCTTCTAAAATCTGTAGGGAAGAGAATAAGGTCTCAAAACATGTGCTACGAGCTTGTCCGGTACTGATGCATAAACGAAAAAAGTACCTAGCTAAAATCTGATATCGGATAATGAAATAAAACTTTGTAATACAAGTTCAATACTATAATTTATAAAAGAAGTAGAATTTGGAAATATACTCTAAGTGCATGAAGGGGGTACATCGGATTAATCGGTCGAAACTTTAAAGTTAATAAACTGTTAATAGTAACGCCAGTAGTACATAAATTTTGAATAAGCTTTTGTATGTATTAGTATCCCGAAAGAATCCCATGAAAAGGTGCTAAGATAAATGTCTATCCGGTTTGACAAGTGCATATCCAACAGAAAGCTGTTGAATTTGTAAGGGGATTTATGACACCCTTTTTCGCAAACTTGCTAGCTAGAAATCCCAGTCACTAACATCGAATCGCATGTAACACGGTATCTGATATCTATCTGAGTTTCTAAACATTTGTTTCTTTGTGTGTCGCTATGTAGATAGTAAATCATAAAACTAATTGAAGTAATTTAGGTACAATTAATTCAAAATTTTTTAGTACGATAGGGTTTTGTTAAAATTTTGCTTCGAACTTCTACAAAAATTATCTTTTTTTAAAATTTTTTTTTTTTAAATCTCTCTTTCGTGTGTTAATAAAAATTTTACTTCACAAAAAATTCAAACACATGTACTGCTTTACCCACACGATCTGCCTCTATGTTATCGACAACTTTTACGAAATTTTGCTGTCAAGTTATCTTTGACACAAACCAGTAATGTGGCAAGCCAGTATTTTAAACAGTATTTTTGTGTTTAACAATAAAAAGTTGTGCTTTTAAAATTAAAATTAAATAAATTAAATAAAATTATTATAAAATCTTATGATCATTGTAAATAATAATTTCAAACGGATGTTATTAAACAACTGGGAATACTCTTTGTATTAATGTTAGAATATTGTGAGTTTCTACTATTGTGAGTTTACTGTCTATTGAGGTCAAACTGTTATTTTGAGCGAATAAATTAATGAGGACGGGAGATTGTAAGTTAAGAGTTACTTGCAGGTAAAAGGTTTGGTTTTTCTAATAAATATTAAGCGGGAATTAAACTATTAAAAAATATTTGATTTAAACTATAATCAAAAAATTTTAAAAATAAAATAATAAAACTCAACCCACACCAAAAAAACAGGAACAAAACCAAAAAACAAAACATTGGAAAGGAAAGTGAAAGTGTACTACAACTACAAGAATTCCAATTATACAATTAATCAATAAAAAATTATATACATATGTGAAGGAAAAAGGTGCGAAAAAGTTATTCAAACCACACGCAAACACACACCTCCATTACTTCTACCGTAGTTTAGTGGATTTTTTTGTTTTTTGCGTTTTCCTCCACTTGCACCGCTCAACAAATCCTCACTGCCCACCAATTCATCGAGTAGACCTAATACATTTGACGATGGTTCCTGTTCAACAACGACAGTTGCCACAGATTCTCCTGGTTTTTGATGCTTCTTACGCTTCTTACGTTTCTGTTTAAGTGGCTTACCACCATGACCATGACCATGTCCGCTACTGAATGCAATATTATTACCAGCATGTTCATCAACTCCATGATCTTCTGTTGGTTTCAGTAGCAACACAGTGGCAGGTGCAGCAACCTGACTTGCTTGACCCTTCTTACGTTTCTTAATACCACCACCGCCGGGTTTTTTAAGTTGTCCAAAAGCTGCCGCTTCTTCGATTTCTATGAATTCATCACCATTTTCATTATTATCATGTGCTAGAGTTTGTGTTTTTATACCATCAATTTTGGTATCCGTTTGTTCAGCATCATCTTCATTATCATTATCATTGCTATTTTCATCTTCATCATCATCTTCATCTGCTTCAGTGTCATCATCACTTTCATCATCAGAGCGACTATTATTAACTAAACTTTCAGCTTTGTCTGCCTCACTGATTAAAGGTTCTTCCTCGCTTTATATGATTTTTAGATAATTAAATTGTGATTTATATTAAATGAAGTAATATATATATATACATATATATTATTAACTACTCACCCATCCATTGTCTCCACTAAATACTGTTTCATAAAATTTGATCCAATCTCAATTTTCTTTAAAATGCTCGATGGTTTTTCTTTTATTGTAATTTCAGAAGCACTGTAACCACGTTTCGCCAATGTCGCATTCAGCTGACTATCCGCCTCAACTGTAAAAAAGTATTTATCAGTTTATTTGAGTTATTATCGACAATTATTGTGCGGTTAAGCAAATTAGCTCTCATAGCTAACAAACCGTAAAATATGAGGCCTGAAGTGGCGCTTCCAACAGCATGCGATTCACTACCTGTCAATTTCATAGTTTAGGGTACAATTACCATTGCCCATTAAGGCGTTGCACTGCGTAAGTGTTGACTTTACGGTCATTGAAAAGAGCTCATAAAATCTTTACTGTCAAGCCGTAAAAGCTGTAAAACGTGGAGTTTGACCGCAGATAGTGACTGCAATTGCACGCAAATGTCTTTGTCGAGACGGACTTCGCTTTTATTGAAGTGTTGCAGTTTTATTTGCTTGCATTAGTTAGTCAGCCAGAAAGTGGGTCAGTCTGTGACATATTCAGTAGGCGAAAAAAATGTTTACTAAGCTAGTTTCAAGATTCATAACTGAGATAAAGAAACAAAGTTGTGTTTTAACTTTGTACTGATTATTGGTAGTAATCTCATGTGGAGTTGAAATAAAACATTTAAGAAGAAATTAAGCAGAATGTATCGGTAAGATTGATAACTAAAGTGTCAAACTCATAATATGTGCAATTTTCATTGCATTTAATGGCTTAGAATTTAACGAATTGTCAAGAAAAATTTTATATTGAAAGCATATGAAAAAGTAAATATGTAAACTACTGTTTGGTATTAGAAAACTTTCGCCGGTTATGTTATTAACATAACTCTGTTAAGTTAAAATGTTCAATAATTAGATATTTATTTCTAATAAAATTTGTAGTTATAAGGTAGATACTGTTATATATAGTTATATATATATCAACAAATTAAGTATGTGATTATAAGTTTTTATTATGAGTTATAGTTATACCATAATCTATTTGGATAAGTATTTATTTCTTAGTTTTCAATTTATATTATTGAAGAAATACAAAAATGTAAAGAACTGCTAATAATAGAAAATATTATAATATATTATATTTTTATAATTTTTTGAACCATCACTCAAACTCTTTTGGAAGAAGAATAGATTGGTTCTCCTTTAGCGATATGTAAGCTTTTAATCAGAAAATTTTCTAAGCGACATAATTAAAAGGTGAAATCGAGCAATATCTTGTTAATATTCAAAATCTGTTATCTCTAGTTAATATGTAAGGATTATACAAACTTATACGATTACAAATTAAGGAACTTGAATTCTTCAGAACTGCAGTAAAGAGTACTAAAAAATTCACTTAAAGCTTTTTAATGCTATTTTACGTTTTAAGCTTAGTACTAATATCCATCCGTACTTAAAATTGATATAAAATTTCATTTACAAAAAATTTTATACAATGTCCAAATTTTTTGGAACATTTTTTTATATGGAGTTTTATGTTAAGCTTTTCAAATAAAAACAACAATTTGTAAGAAAGCTATTGTAAATCAGTTACTACTTCTTCGTCAGTCTGATTTGCAAAATCTAAATCTTCAGCCGCCTAAATCCGTGATCAAGTGATATATGAATTCCAATATTATTTATATGTAATTATTCATTATATTATTTTTATGATTATTACCTTTTAATTTCTGCCACTGTGATCGCAATTCAGCATCCCACACATCAAGTATACGCGCAGATTGTTGCTTAGCACAGCTCCAAGGCTCTTCTCTGATTGGACAGAGCACTATATCTATATAAGGTGAGATTTCTGTAAAGTTATAAATAAATAAATCAGTAAAAAGTTAATAACAAATTAATTGTAGGCATAAATAAATAATAAAAAAAAGTAAATAAATCAATAAATGAATTAAATTAAAATTTTAATTAATTGGATTTAATTTTTCAGTTCAATACAATGAGCAGTTACGGTTATTAGGCATTTATGTCGTAAACCGCTTAACGTACTTTCATGTATTCTCTTGGGTACACGTCTGAAATAAGCTACTAATTAAATGTAGCATCTACTCGTACTTACTTGACTGATAAGACTTTCGTTTCATTAAAAATAAAACTATTTTCTTTTGATTTATGGGCTCAACTCGTTTCTTACTGACCAAATGTAAAAAGTGTTGCATTTTTTAGAAAACATGCGTTTGAAAAATAATGCAGTGCAGTGTAAATCACACACAATTCAAAAATAATAATAGACTTATATATTTTATATACCATTTATATAAAAATATTTGAGAAAAGCACATTCCAATAAAAAAATTAGAGAAAGTATTTATTTTTAATTGTGCAACACGCGTACGATTTTGTCTCTTCGAAAGATTGGTTCATCTGAACCAATTAAAAATAAAAATATTTCTACTTAAGCCTAAGTCTTAGTGGACGTGTGATCTCCCCAAAGAGTTTAGACGCGTTTGGACCACTTAAGCAGTTATCGACTTCTGTTAGAGATGCATTTGATATTCGCACAAGTTCACACAATTTCATTAGTTTTTCACACGACATTGAGTTCATGGAAGATAACAATAAAATTTTATTTAATCTTGTATCTACACAACAACTTAGCATAGCATTTTTGATTCAACTTGGTATGGCCTCACTAAACTACATCGTCTGCTTCGTCTAATACTGAGGAAAATTTTCTTTCTAAAATTTCTGCACGGATATTTCTTCGTCATTATTATTGTGAAGAATCTGTTCCATTAGTAAGTAGTGCGGAAAACTTTGCATGATTCATATGAAATCTTCATTTTAAATTTTTATGACCAATGAGTGTCTTATCTTGGCAAATAACCATTGCATGTCACAGAATAATTTCATGTGGAAATATTTATTGGTAATGAGTTTCATAGATGTCTTCACTTATGGAAAGTGAGATAAATTGATTTGCTAAACAAGGTTAATTTTATACTGAATACTAAAATTAATATTTTAATAATGGATTCTTTTCTCCTCGAGTAATTTTAATTAATTTTCAAATATTTCACATTTTTCAATTATAATAATTTCTCATCATTGACTTGATATGTTAGTAAGGTAATTTCATTTCTTTAATGAAGTATACAAGTGGACTAACCAAAAATTTTTTAATACATTTTTTAATAATTTAGAAAAATTTAGTACTTGGAAGGTTCATAATTTGGTATAATGAAAGTTATAATTAATAGTTTTCTAAAATGATGCGAACTTGTGTTTGTGTCATTTATTTTTATTCGTAGATATTTACTATATATAATCTCAATAATAGATAAACTCTTAAATCTTAAAACTTAAAGCCCAAGAATTGTTTATTATAAATCAAAAAGTCACTACGGTACGCCCAACAGATTGTAATAGAGACAGTCATTTTGAGCAATTATTTTTACGATATATTATAAACGTTCCGAAAAGTTTTCGAGATATTCAGCTTCAAAGTTTAAAATTTTTACATGAAAATCATCAAAATCTAAACCTTAAAAAATATTTAGTGTTTAAATATATCTTTCATATATGATTTAGATCGAATAAATCATGAAATTTGACAAGAATCTTCAAGTAGCTAACTGTTCCATGGTTTTTTTAGCAAACTAAGTGTAGATGTTTTTAATGGTCAGATTTGATATTTTAAGTTTTTTATGCATAATATCCAGCTTTACTGTAGCAAGTGTGATATCTATATTCAAAGATAGAAAAGTGTTTTTACTTCAATAATCCCATCTGCCTTCCACTTATCAGAAATGATTCTCTGCAGAGGTATTCCATATGAGTTGCACACTAACAAGTCAATTGAACTTTTTGAGAGAATTTTGGAGAGTAGAAATGTTAAATTTCAGAATAAGAAAGGTTTAAAAATGATTAATAATTTTCAATAATAACATACATTGTATAATTAATTATTTCAAGAATAATAATTATATTAGCAATCAATTAAGGACAAAAAACTAAATCCACCTTTTAGCTTATGTGCTTGTGCTTTTTTTATAGACTAAATTAAATTAATAATTTACTTCAGAACGTACTTGATATTTACTTATGTTCATACTTGCACATACACGTATTCATACGCTATAAAGACAATAGGATCCATATCAAGACCAGACGTAGACTTAACTACCTCGAAAGCGGGATCTTAGTTCCAAATCAAATAGGTAAAAGCAAGCTTACTGTAATAACGAGATTTATAAATAGTCTGGAATTGTGTTAGTTGGGCCTTTTTTTTTTTTTTGTTTTTTTTTTTTGTGGTGAGGAGGTGGAATGCTTTATGCACCGTCTAACCGACCGTCGTCGGAATGGTGTGCCCGACTCCCTAACATTAATATGTAGTATACGGACTAAAACACCCCCTCTTCAGCGAGGCTTATTCCCCCTCGGAACCGCTTTCGCATTACTTCGAGGAGGGTCTCTTTTATGTTGACATTTCAAGCCATGCTCTCTTGATTTTCGATCTGCTTCCAGACCACCACTTTTCACCGCATTTTCTTGGTGTCCATTCTATTTATTAATTTCTTATTCTAGTTTCTAGATCTAATTTCTTCGTTTCGTTAGCGCACAATAGATCTTTCAGGTCGGGGTGCGTTCATAGCCTAATATTTAATAATAACAAAATATAATCGGTTTAGCTTTTTACAGATTTTTTATATGCACTTTAAGCCATAAAAAAATTGCTTGATTATTAGATATCAGATAAAATCACATGACAAAATAGATAAGAGATTTTCATTAATTTCTAAATTAGTTTTTATTTTTTTCATATTTATTTTTAGCTCATAATAGATTTACTTTAATTAAAATATGTTAAATTGTTAAAAATTGTTTTCTTTCTCAAGAAAAACTTCTTAATGCAATTTGTATTCACTTTCGCCAAAAATATTTTCTCAATCTTGTTTTTATTTTGATTTTAAGGTTAAATGTCGTTTGCTTCTGCAAACACCCATAAATCTTACCAATTTCATAGAAATAGCGCATAACAGTTCCTAAGCCATCAGATGTCGTGCTACAAGTCTGCAAGCTGGTGTCTGAAACGTGTTATGGCGGCAAGTATTTACAATGTATCTAATGCATTAGAAAGCAAAAGCAGGGGCAGGAGTGTTATTGCAAATAGGATCTTCATTTGCAATTACAAGTTTTTGTTCAATCCTTTAACTTGTAGACAATCTTTACAACGAGGAAAGTGACATCTTTGGTTTGTTTTGAAATTCAGAGAAAATAATGTGCAACCAAAAAAGAAAATCATGAGGCCAATAACCATTCAACCGAACTATGGCATTAAACATTCTGCGCCGTGGACAATGGTTGACAATTTATTCTCACAAATCGTGACTTCAGGTAACTGGTAATGTTACTAATGATCATTTAGCAAACAAATATGTTAAAGGGTATTTAACATATATTTTTTGTAATGCATTTGATTCTATTTAAAAATAATTATATTAAATAAAGAATTTAATTCTTTGTAATAATTTAGTTAGGCGAGCTTAATGGTTAGATATTTATAGCGATTTTTTAATAGAAAATTGTGTTTTCATATTGTTTAGGTCGTCTAATTTATATGAAGATCTTAACTTTCATAGAATAAATCATAGAATAAATCTAATTGTATATGAACGCTTTAAAGTTAATAATAATGAACATTAATTTTAGGTGTTTAATAGACTATTAAGCCGTAAACGAAGAAAAGTGTGAAATTGTGTTTATATCAATCATATTTCCCATTAATGGTGGAGAGCTGTAATGTAACGAGGCTGATCCTTCTCTGTTAGGCTAGAAACCCATTTTTATTCTGCATTGTTCTATACATTTTGTGGCTTCGTTCATATAAAATATTTTTAACGACTATCTTTGAAGTAAACATTAAATTTAGTTACGTTACCTATAAACTCTATGTTTTATTAATAATCAAAATAGATTTCCAATCCTCTACTACTACCTTTTAAACATTTTTGCTAAGATCTTTAAACATTAAATTAAGAAGATTACATTCATTAAATGAAATCTATAAGTTACATAAAATCTTACAGTAGCCAACTATTTAACTTTATGAAAGTTCCTCACTTGGAAATCTTTTTCATGGCTCAAATCAAGGTTAAGGTGCGCTCATTAATTGCCCATCATTTTGGTTGTTCAGACGTTAAAGATGAAAATTGCATGACAGGAAAACCAAAAGTGAAGATGCAACATCAGAAATCATTAATAGACAATTTTGTTGCAAATGCAACATAATAAAAAGTTTACCTTTTCGATTTCAATTTGGAATGCAAAAAACATGTGGAATCTTTGACATATAAAGTGAAATCTACAAAGAAATGGTAAATAGTAAGATTGTTTTGGTTAAAATTTACTAAATTGGCACGAAAAAAAATCAGTAGTCATGACTTATGAAAGCCAATCAAGTGTACAAATCAAGCTAACCGTAGAGAGGTTTCGTCTTCTTAAGGAGTGTGAGATGTGATTAAGGTTGTTACTTTTCAAACTGACTGTAAATATTGTTTACATACATAATGTAAATATGTATGCAGTGAACAAAATAAAAAACTGAATTGTGTTATATTATAGTATTTTCTATTGGATAAATAAATTATATATGATAATTATGATAAATCTTATATGATTAAACAATATACACAAAAGTTACATAGCGCATTCCACAGATAAAAAGACTATTTAAAAATTAATGAATGTAGTGTGGTCATGTATTGACAGATTGAATAGATCTACATTACAGAAAGATTGTACATAAAACAGGTATTGTGAAATTTAACTATTGCATCAACTTTGTATATG